AGGGGTGCTGGAGCTGGAGGTCCTGGCACTGGAGGTGCTAGTTCTGGGGGTGCTGGAGCTGGAGGTGCTGGCACTGGAGGTGATAGTTCTGGGGGTGCTGGTGCTGGAGGTACTGGCACTGGAGGTGCTAGTTCAGAGGGTGCTGGAGCTGGAGGTGTTGGAACTGGCGGTGCTAGTTCTGGGGGTGCTGGAGCAGGAGGTCCTGGCGCTTTAGGAGCTGGTACTGAGGAGACGGGAGCTGGAGGCTCGCCTACTGCGTCGCCCACTGCGTCTCCCCACCGCCACGGCACCCGTTTCCAGGCCCTTCGCTGGCTTGAGCGCAAGGAGCAGGAGCAGTTGGAGTAGGAGAGGCAGGAGCTACAGCGATTGGACCAGCAGCAGCAGCAGCAGCAACAGCAGCCGCCGCAGCCGCCACTTTTGCAGCAGCTGTTTCCCCCAGTGAGTGGCCTTCGGGCCCTTGGTCTTCCTTCCTCTCCTCTTGTTCACTCACAGTCTCCTACCGCGTACGGTCCTATGTTTCCTCCTCCGGACTCAACTCCGGCTGATTTCTCTCCTCCTCAGTCACATTCGCCTCCTCCCGTTGTCCGGCACGACTGGACCAGTCGTTCTCCTCCACGTGCTCCGCCCTCGTCTCCTCTTGCCGATCTCCGCACCGTCTTGTTTCGTTCTCCTCCTCGTTGTTCTCCGCCTGTGTCTGTTCTCCCCTCACCTCCTGAGTCATCTCTCACCGTTTCCTCTCACCCTATCACTGACTACTACTGTGCTGCTCGCCCTGTTGTCTCTCGTGTTCTCGCTTCTCTTGTCACCGACCCTCGTGCCTTTCCATCGCCTGTCTTGGCTCTTACTGCCGTTGTCGCCGACTTTGCTTCCACTCGCCATCTTGACTATGCCACGCGTGTGGTGGCTGCTCCACCTCCCCGTCCTCTGTCCGTCGGGGGTGAGTCTGCCCTTGGCTGTGACGTCTTAGAGGACAGGCAGTTTGAGCTGGAGTTCTTAGCAGCCGCTTCCCCCTCTCTCTGCGCCTTGCTGCTTTCCCTTGAGGGAGACCCCGACGCCCTTGACATACCGACACCTCGCACGTACCGTGAGGCAGTGTCAAGCGAGTGGACCTTTCAGTGGAAAGCGGCTACAGATACAGAGCTAGCGTCTTGGAGATCCACAGGCACCTACGTCGACGCAGTTCCCCCTCCCAGGGCGAAAATTGTCGATGGCATGTAGCTCTTCAAGGTGAAGCGGCCGCCTGGTTCCCCGCCAGTGTTCAAGGCGTGCTACGTGGCTAGGGGTTTCAGTCAGCGTGAGGGAGTTGACTTCTTCCAGACCTTCGCCCCAACCCCGAAGATGACTACTCTTCGGGTGTTACTACACGTAGCAGCACAGCGAGACTACGAGCTGCACTCCCTTGAATTCTCCACTGCGTTTCTCCAGGGCCGCCTACACGAGGAGATCTGGCTGCGCCGTCCTCCTGGCTTCACTGACACCTTCCCACCTGGGACCCAGTGGAGCCTGAGGCGGCCAGTCTACGGTCTCCGCCAGTCGCCCTGTGAGTGGCACGACACTCTTCGCTCCACGCTTCGTGACCTTGGGTTTCGTCGTTCTTCTGCCGGCCCATCGCTGTTTGTTCGGACTGGTTCCACTCCTTTCTTTATACTAGTGTACGTCGACAACTTGGTCTTTGCTACAGCAGACAGGGCAGCTCTGACTGAGGTGAAATCCGAACTGCAGAAGAGACACAAGTGCACTGACCTCGGTGAACTGCAGTGCTACCTTGGCCTGCAGATCACCAAGGACAGAGCCGCTCGCACCATCACACTGACTCAGTCACACATGGTGCAGCAGGTCCTTCAACGGTTCGGGTTTCAGTTTTCCACCACACAGCCCTCTCCTCTTGCCGTTGACCACCGACTCACTGGCCCTTTTCCTGACGAGCCCCTTGAGTCTAGTGGTCCCGACGGAGAGCTTGTGGGCTGCCTCATGTACCTGATGACTTGTACTCGGCCGGACCTCGCTTTTCCCCTCAGCGTCCTCTCTCACTTTGTTGCGACTGGGAGACACCGTCCTATTCACTGGACAGCTACTGTGAGGGTGGCGAAGTACCTGGCGACTACATCAGGCATGGGGCTTGTGCTTGGAGGGACACAGCCAGTTGTGTTGACCGGTCACTGCGACTCTTCCTACGCTGACGACGTGGAGACTCAGCATTCGACTCAAGGTTACTGCTTCAGTCTGGGTGCTGGTGCTGTGTCGTGGAGGTCTACACGGTCGTCGTCCGTGGCTTCGTCCAGTGCAGAGGCAGAGATCTACGCTGGTGCCATGGCGGCACAGGAGCTTCGCTGGTTGACCTTCATGCTCGCCGACCTTGGTGAGCGGCCTCGCTCTACACCAACCTTGTACGCTGACAACAAGGCCATGATCCTCCTGTGTCGAAAGCCTCGACTGGAGAGCAGAGTGAAGCATATTGACGTGAGGTACTTCCTCCTGCGAGAGTTGTAGCGACGCGGCCAGGCACGCTTGGACTTTGTGGCTTCAGAGGCCAACACTGCCGACGTCTTCACCAAGGCCTTGGCGCCTGGTGACCACCACAAGTTTTGTGTGCAGTTGGGGCTTGCTGAGTTAGGCCCTCGGTTGCTGTAGACCTGCTGTTTTCTCTGCTTGTTGTGCTTCTATATATACTAGTAAACTCTTGAACTGGCCTTGTGGCCACTTGCTTGTGCTCGGAGTGTGTGGTGACTCTGAGCGCCACCCTGAGCTTTGCTTTGTTGCTTGCACTTGACTGGTCTTGTGATCATTGTTTCCCTTGCGAGTTCTTAGATGCACCTCACTTAGCCTATGGGGGTGTGTCAAATAATGTTCATTTGCATTGTTAGGTTTCTAGGATACAGTGAGTTGCCCTTAGAGGGTACAACCCATCCTAGGTTAACTTTTGTATCCCCCTCGACTTTCTACCTCACACAATTCTCTCGACACTTCTTCCTAGCCTACCATTTTGTGAGATTACTGATCAGGGCCTGATAATCGGAGATTCCTACCATATACATCCTGTCATCGCTTTCAGCTCTCATTTACTGTACATAGCTTGCTTTTAATCTACGGTGGTGTCTTCTTGTCGCATAACCTACTGGTGGTTTATCTACAAGAGGAAATGCTTGATTCGAGAACAGCAGCAGCTAGCAGTGGGATGGCTGCACGCGCACTGAAATCCCCATGGCCTGCATCTCTTCAAACAGCACTTTGAGGCACCGCAAACAAAATACTACGGTACTATGGTACTTTTGAGGCGCCTAGGAACATGAGAATTGAGCAGCAGTCAGCAGTGGGATGGCTGCAGGCGCACTGAGATTCCCATGGCCCTCATCTCATCAAACAGCAGCTTCAGGGCATATGGCATGCACACCTGTGGGCGGAGAGAGAGAGAAAGAGAGAGCGGGGGAAAGGAGGAGAGATAGGTCTGAGTTGCTTAAACAACTGCACCGATATCCCCATGGCCCTCATCTCATCAAACAGCAGCTTCAAGGTGTATGGCATGCACATCTGTGGATGGTGGAGGGCGAGGGAAGGGAGGGGAAGGAGATGGGGGAAAGGAAAGGGGAGAAAGGAAAGGGGGGGATTTGAGGTGCCTAAACTGTTGCACTGAAATCCCCATGGCCCGCATCTCTTCAAACAGCACTTTGAGGCACCGCAAACAAAATACTACGGTACTATGGTACTTTTGAGGCGCCTAGGAACATGAGAATTGAGCAGCAGTCAGCAGTGGGATGGCTGCACGCGCACTGAGATTCCCATGGCCCTCATCTCATCAAACAGCAGCTTCAGGGCATATGGCATGCACACCTGTGGGCGGAGAGAGAGAGAGAGAGAGAGAGAGAGAGAGAGAGAGAGAGAGAGAGAGAGAGAGAGAGAGAGAGAGAGAGAGAGAGAGAGAGAGAGCGGGGGAAAGGAGGAGAGATAGGTCTGAGTTGCTTAAACAAATGCACCGATATTCCCATGGCCCTCATCTCATCAAACAGCAGCTTCAGGGCATATGGCATGCACACCTGTGGGCGGAGAGAGAGAGAGAGAGAGAGAGAGAGAGAGAGAGAGAGAGAGAGAGAGAGAGAGAGAGAGAGAGAGAGAGAGAGAGAGAGAGAGAGAGAGAGCGGGGGAAAGGAGGAGAGATAGGTCTGAGTTGCTTAAACAAATGCACCGATATCCCCATGGCCCTCATCTCATCAAACAGCAGCTTCAGGGCATATGGCATGCACACCTGTGGGCGGAGAGAGAGAGAGAGAGAGAGAGAGAGAGAGAGAGAGAGAGAGAGAGAGAGAGAGAGAGAGAGAGAGAGAGAGAGAGAGAGAGAGAGAGAGAGAGCGGGGGAAAGGAGGAGAGATAGGTCTGAGTTGCTTAAACAAATGCACCGATATCCCCATGGCCCTCATCTCATCAAACAGCAGCTTCAGGGCATATGGCATGCACACCTGTGGGCGGAGAGAGAGAGAGAGAGAGAGAGAGAGAGAGAGAGAGAGAGAGAGAGAGAGAGAGAGAGAGAGAGCGGGGGAAAGGAGGAGAGATAGGTCTGAGTTGCTTAAACAAATGCACCGATATCCCCATGGCCCTCATCTCATCAAACAGCAGCTTCAGGGCATATGGCATGCACACCTGTGGGCGGAGAGAGAGAGAGAGAGAGAGAGAGAGAGAGAGAGAGAGAGAGAGAGAGAGAGAGAGAGAGAGAGAGAGAGCGGGGGAAAGGAGGAGAGATAGGTCTGAGTTGCTTAAACAAATGCACCGATATCCCCATGGCCCTCATCTCATCAAACAGCAGCTTCAGGGCATATGGCATGCACACCTGTGGGCAGAGAGAGAGAGAGAGAGAGAGAGAGAGAGAGAGAGAGAGAGAGAGAGAGAGAGAGAGAGAGAGAGAGAGAGAGAGAGAGAGAGAGAGCGGGGGAAAGGAGGAGAGATAGGTCTGAGTTGCTTAAACAAATGCACCGATATCCCCATGGCCCTCATCTCATCAAACAGCAGCTTCAAGGCGTATGGCATGCACATCTGTGGATGGTGGAGGGCGAGGGAAGGGAGGGGAAGGAGACGGGGGAAAGGAAAGGGGAGAAGGAAAGGGGGGGATTTGAGGTGCCTAAACTGTTGCACTGATATCCCCATGGCCCTCATCTCATCAAACAGGAGCTTCAAGGCATATGGCATGCACACCTGTGGAGAGGGGGGTGGGGGAAACAGGGGGGAGGGGAGTAAGGGCGCGGGGGGTGTTGAGGTGCATAAACAGTTACACGGATATCCCCATGGCCCTCATCCCATCACACGGCTGCTTCAAGGCATACGGCATGCACACCTGTGGAAGACGGGTGAGCAGGGTGGAGAGAGAGATAGAAACACCAAGTGAGAAACAAGGGAGAATACCTGATGTAACTGGAAAGGAGAGTGAGAAACAAGGGACTGTGATCTCGAGGCATCCAGCAGCTTGTTCTACTAGTGGATTAATGCATGAGGCATCCACACATGCCCCTACATACCCCACACATGCCGCCACATACCCCACACACCCACCATGTTGCATCGCAAACATACCTCTGTGGTGTTTGTGCTGCTTCCACACGACTGGCACACAGGACCATGGCGATCACTCCCCTCTCCGCCAAAACCACCGAAACCACCAGCATCAGCAGCAGCACCAGCAGCAGCGTAACGATCAAAGCCGCTGCCACCACCACCTGCCCTGAGTACACCTCCCCCAGAGCCACCCGCCCCAGTGGCAATGAGGCGGCAGGCAGAGCAGACAGCAAGGGCAGTGGCGTCTGAGAGGAGCGAGAGGCGCTCAGAGAGGGAGTGCGCTGCCCCGTGCGCCACCAGGCAGTCTCTTTCCATCTCCCCCACCCGCATTCCCCCCTGCTGCGCCCTGCCTTTAGTGGGCTGGCGGGTTGTCATCTGGAGGGCGTTGGAAGGGGTAGTGAGGGATGGGATGCGGTGAAAGGGAAGGGAGTTTGGTCGAATAATGTATGCTGCATGCCCTTAGTGCGCCACTAGACAGTCCCTCTCCATCTCCGCCACCCGCATGCCCCCCTGCTGCGCCCTGCCTTAGTCGGCTGGCGTGTGGTCATCTGTGCATGCGTGTGGGGCGTGAGGGGAAAGGAGGGAGCACAAGGTATGGTGAACGGTAGGAGGGTGTGTAGGTGGGAGGACGTTTAGGAGGGAGGGTGGTTAGGAGGGAGGGTGGTTAGGAGGGAGGGCGTTTAGGAGGGAGGGTGGTTAGGAGGGAGGGCGTTTAGGAGGGACGGTGAGTAGGAGCGAAGAGGAGATGAGTGGCTTTCTAGTCGCAGGTAGTGAGTGGGGCCCACAAACACCCTCCCTTCCACTACTTCAGGACCCAGCACGCTCTGCACATTCCACTGGACTGTATCACATCGCACAGCTCAGTACCGCTCATCACCGCGCATCACCGCACCTCACCTGCTTGATCCCGATGGCCCGTGTGGATCTTTTGTCTGCTGCTAGATGCTTCAGTCGCAGGTAGTGAGTGGGGCCCACAAACACCCTACCTTCCATCTCTACTCTTGAACTTGCATATGTATACCCACACAGGCCGCACATACCACCGCACCACACAGCACCGCACATCACCGCACCTCACCTGCTTGGTCCCTATGGCCCTAGTGGCTCTTTTGTCAGCTGCCAGATGTTTCAGACGCAGGTAGTGCGTAGGGCCGACAAACACCCTCCTCTCCATCTCTTCCTTCCCTAAGAAGACCCACAGACACCGCACAGCACAGCTTGTCACTGCGCATCAATGCAGCTCACCTGCTTGGTCCCAATGGCCCGTGTGGCTCGCTTGTCGACTGCTAGATGCTTCAGACGCAGGTAGTGTGTGGGCCCCACAAACACCACACATACTACTCCACCGCATGGAACCGCACGGCACCGCACATCACTGCACATCACCACACCTCACCTGTTTGGTCCCAATGGCCCGTGTGGCTCGCTTGTCGACTGCTAGATGCTTCAGACGCAGATAGTGTGTGGGCCCCACAAACACCACACATACCACTCCACCGCATGGAACCGCACAGCACCGCACATCACTGCACATCACCACACCTCACCTGCTTGGTCCCAATGGCCCGTGTGGCTCTCTTGTCGTCTGCCAGGTGCTTCAGATGCAGGTAGTGGGGCCCACAAGCACACCCTCTTCTCCAGTACTCTATGACCCCGCACGCATCGTACGTACTACCACACCGTATGGCATTGCACAGCTCAGCACCGCTCATCACCGCACATCACTGCATCTCACCTGCTTGGTCCCAATGGCCCGTGTGGCTCTCTTATCAGCTGCTAGATGCTTCAGACGCAAGTAGTGTGTAGGGCCGACAAACACCCTCCCCTCCATCTCTCGTCCCGTGATCCCACAGTATGCAACGTCCTTGCCCAAATCGAGAGGTGAGTAGCCACAGCTGGTAGAAGCGATGGGTGAATGGAGGGGAGTAGGACAGCTATCAGTTACAACTGTTGCTTGTGGCATGTTAAGATCTCTCGCCCCGTCGCCCCGTCACCCCGCAGTAAGCAACGCCCTTGCCCAAGTCCAGAGGGGAGTAGCCGCAACTGGTAGGAGGGGAGTTGGAAGGGGAGGGAAGGGAAGGGCGGCAGGGTAGGGAAGAGAAGGTAGTGAGCGGGGCCCGAAAACACCCTCCCTTCCATGCCCCGCCCCGTCACCCCACAGTAAGCAGAGTGTAAAAAACTTGTTGTCTACCACAGCACTGCACAGTCAGGTACTTACCAGTTACCTTCAGGGAGCCTGTACCAAACCTCGACCTTTACCGAATCTGAAAATAAGAAACGATTGTGCGGGTGTGGCGGCGATATGTGATACTTCAACCTTCATTGCTCCACATTTGTGGAAATGAAGGTTGCAGTTTCACCCTTAGCCGCCATACCCGCACAGCCATTCGTTGTTCTCAGGTTTGGTAAAGGCTAAAATTGGGTACAGGTCCCCTGACTGTAATTGGGTAGTCCTTGGCTTTGTGGTGCTGTGGTAGGCATCATGTATTCGATTTTTGAGTCGACTCAAAAATCGACTCACTACACGTTTGAGTCGACTCAAAAATCGACTCACTACACGTTTGAGTCGACTCAAAAATCGACTCACTACACGCCAATTGGGTAGTCCTTGGCTTTGTGGTGCTGTGGTAGGCATCATGTTTTCGATTTTTGAGTCGACTCAAAAATCGACTCACTACACGTTTGAGTCGACTCAAAAATCGACTCACTACACGTTTGAGTCGACTCAAAAATCGACTCACTACACGCCAATTGGGTAGTCCTTGGCTTTGTGGTGCTGTGGTAGGCATCATGTTTTCGATTTTTGAGTCGACTCAAAAATCGACTCACTACACGTTTGAGTCGACTCAAAAATCGACTCACTACACGTTTGAGTCGACTCAAAAATCGACTCACTACACGCCAATTGGGTAGTCCTTGGCTTTGTGGTGCTGTGGTAGGCATCATGTTTTCGATTTTTGAGTCGACTCAAAAATCGACTCACTACACGTTTGAGTCGACTCAAAAATCGACTCACTACACGTTTGAGTCGACTCAAAAATCGACTCACTACACGCCAATTGGGTAGTCCTTGGCTTTGTGGTGCTGTGGTAGGCATCATGTTTTCGATTTTTGAGTCGACTCAAAAATCGACTCACTACACGTTTGAGTCGACTCAAAAATCGACTCACTACACGTTTGAGTCGACTCAAAAATTGACTCACTACACGCCAATTGGGTAGTCCTTGGCTTTGTGGTGCTGTGGTAGGCATCATGTTTTCGATTTTTGAGTCGACTCAAAAATCGACTCACTACACGTTTGAGTCGACTCAAAAATCGACTCACTACACGTTTGAGTCGACTCAAAAATCGACTCACTACACGCCAATTGGGTAGTCCTTGGCTTTGTGGTGCTGTGGTAGGCATCATGTTTTCGATTTTTGAGTCGACTCAAAAATCGACTCACTACACGTTTGAGTCGACTCAAAAATCGACTCACTACACGTTTGAGTCGACTCAAAAATCGACTCACTACACGCCAATTGGGTAGTCCTTGGCTTTGTGGTGCTGTGGTAGGCATCATGTTTTCGATTTTTGAGTCGACTAAAAAATCGACTCACTACACGTTTGAGTCGACTCAAAAATCGACTCACTACACGTTTGAGTCGACTCAAAAATCGACTCACTACACGCCAATTGGGTAGTCCTTGGCTTTGTGGTGCTGTGGTAGGCATCATGTTTTCGATTTTTGAGTCGACTCAAAAATCGACTCACTACACGTTTGAGTCGACTCAAAAATCGACTCACTACACGTTTGAGTCGACTCAAAAATCGACTCACTACACGCCAATTGGGTAGTCCTTGGCTTTGTGGTGCTGTGGTAGGCATCATGTTTTCGATTTTTGAGTCGACTCAAAAATCGACTCACTACACGTTTGAGTCGACTCAAAAATCGACTCACTACACGTTTGAGTCGACTCAAAAATCGACTCACTACACGCCAATTGGGTAGTCCTTGGCTTTGTGGTGCTGTGGTAGGCATCATGTTTTCGATTTTTGAGTCGACTCAAAAATCGACTCACTACACGTTTGAGTCGACTCAAAAATCGACTCACTACACGTTTGAGTCGACTCAAAAATCGACTCACTACACGCCAATTGGGTAGTCCTTGGCTTTGTGGTGCTGTGGTAGGCATCATGTTTTCGATTTTTGAGTCGACTCAAAAATCGACTCACTACACGTTTGAGTCGACTCAAAAATCGACTCACTACACGTTTGAGTCGACTCAAAAATCGACTCACTACACGCCAATTGGGTAGTCCTTGGCTTTGTGGTGCTGTGGTAGGCATCATGTTTTCGATTTTTGAGTCGACTCAAAAATCGACTCACTACACGTTTGAGTCGACTCAAAAATCGACTCACTACACGTTTGAGTCGACTCAAAAATCGACTCACTACACGCCAATTGGGTAGTCCTTGGCTTTGTGGTGCTGTGGTAGGCATCATGTTTTCGATTTTTGAGTCGACTCAAAAATCGACTCACTACACGTTTGAGTCGACTCAAAAATCGACTCACTACACGTTTGAGTCGACTCAAAAATCGACTCACTACACGCCAATTGGGTAGTCCTTGGCTTTGTGGTGCTGTGGTAGGCATCATGTTTTCGATTTTTGAGTCGACTCAAAAATCGACTCACTACACGTTTGAGTCGACTCAAAAATCGACTCACTACACGCCAATTGGGTAGTCCTTGGCTTTGTGGTGCTGTGGTAGGCATCATGTTTTCGATTTTTGAGTCGACTCAAAAATCGACTCACTACACGTTTGAGTCGACTCAAAAATCGACTCACTACACGTTTGAGTCGACTCAAAAATCGACCCACTACACGCCAATTGGGTAGTCCTTGGCTTTGTGGTGCTGTGGTAGGCATCATGTTTTCGATTTTTGAGTCGACTCAAAAATCGACTCACTACACGTTTGAGTCGACTCAAAAATCGACTCACTACACGTTTGAGTCGACTCAAAAATCGACTCACTACACGCCAATTGGGTAGTCCTTGGCTTTGTGGTGCTGTGGTAGGCATCATGTTTTCGATTTTTGAGTCGACTCAAAAATCGACTCACTACACGTTTAAGTCGACTCAAAAATCGACTCACTACACGTTTGAGTCGACTCAAAAATCGACTCACTACACGCCAATTGGGTAGTCCTTGGCTTTGTGGTGCTGTGGTAGGCATCATGTTTTCGATTTTTGAGTCGACTCAAAAATCGACTCACTACACGTTTGAGTCGACTCAAAAATCGACTCACTACACGTTTGAGTCGACTCAAAAATCGACTCACTACACGCCAATTGGGTAGTCCTTGGCTTTGTGGTGCTGTGGTAGGCATCATGTTTTCGATTTTTGAGTCGACTCAAAAATCGACTCACTACACGTTTGAGTCGACTCAAAAATCGACTCACTACACGTTTGAGTCGACTCAAAAATCGACTCACTACACGCCAATTGGGTAGTCCTTGGCTTTGTGGTGCTGTGGTAGGCATCATGTTTTCGATTTTTGAGTCGACTCAAAAATCGACTCACTACACGTTTGAGTCGACTCAAAAATCGACTCACTACACGTTTGAGTCGACTCAAAAATCGACTCACTACACGCCAATTGGGTAGTCCTTGGCTTTGTGGTGCTGTGGTAGGCATCATGTTTTCGATTTTTGAGTCGACTCAAAAATCGACTCACTACACGTTTGAGTCGACTCAAAAATCGACTCACTACACGTTTGAGTCGACTCAAAAATCGACTCACTACACGCCAATTGGGTAGTCCTTGGCTTTGTGGTGCTGTGGTAGGCATCATGTTTTCGGTTTTTGAGTCGACTCAAAAATCGACTCACTACACGTTTGAGTCGACTCAAAAATCGACTCACTACACGTTTGAGTCGACTCAAAAATCGACTCACTACACGTTTGAGTCGACTCAAAAATCGACTCACTACACGTTTGAGTCGACTCAAAAATCGACTCACTACACGCCAATTGGGTAGTCCTTGGCTTTGTGGTGCTGTGGTAGGCATCATGTTTTCGATTTTTGAGTCGACTCAAAAATCGACTCACTACACGTTTGAGTCGACTCAAAAATCGACTCACTACACGTTTGAGTCGACTCAAAAATCGACTCACTACACGCCAATTGGGTAGTCCTTGGCTTTGTGGTGCTGTGGTAGGCATCATGTTTTCGATTTTTGAGTCGACTCAAAAATCGACTCACTACACGTTTGAGTCGACTCAAAAATCGACTCACTACACGTTTGAGTCGACTCAAAAATCGACTCACTACACGCCAATTGGGTAGTCCTTGGCTTTGTGGTGCTGTGGTAGGCATCATGTTTTCGATTTTTGAGTCGACTCAAAAATCGACTCACTACACGTTTGAGTCGACTCAAAAATCGACTCACTACACGCCAATTGGGTAGTCCTTGGCTTTGTGGTGCTGTGGTAGGCATCATGTTTTCGATTTTTGAGTCGACTCAAAAATCGACTCACTACACGTTTGAGTCGACTCAAAAATCGACTCACTACACGTTTGAGTCGACTCAAAAATCGACTCACTACACGCCAATTGGGTAGTCCTTGGCTTTGTGGTGCTGTGGTAGGCATCATGTTTTCGATTTTTGAGTCGACTAAAAAATCGACTCACTACACGTTTGAGTCGACTCAAAAATCGACTCACTACACGTTTGAGTCGACTCAAAAATCGACTCACTACACGCCAATTGGGTAGTCCTTGGCTTTGTGGTGCTGTGGTAGGCATCATGTTTTCGATTTTTGAGTCGACTCAAAAATCGACTCACTACACGTTTGAGTCGACTCAAAAATCGACTCACTACACGTTTGAGTCGACTCAAAAATCGAC